CCAACCACCGTTAACTATGCACATTGGCAAATGCGCGGAGATCTCTTCCAAGCATTCCGCATTGTGAAGAGATTAGATTACAACCTAACCCTCTGGCTTTGAAATAGAGAGTCGACCTAGTTCTTCGAAACGTTAGCAACAGCGCAAATTTGTTTCAGTGGGCAACTTACTTTTCTCAAATTATAAACCCGGAACGTTCACCTTCGCGAACGTAGAAGTTTTTGAGTCTGCTACCACGAACAAACTTCGTGATCGCCCATTGAAACTGCACGTTCTGCAGACAAAACTGGATATGTGCAAGTTCTCTCTCCTTTCCAGAGTGGTTAACCTCTAGACAAAATGCCCTCCCCCCCCTCTGCAACCGTTGTGATTGCATGATCGATAGAATGCTTTAAAAATAACCTTGATAAATGTATGTCCCAAAATGAGTCTGAACAATGAGACTCGCGTCCAAATTGTCACACTGTTATGCTCTTCTGGGAATCACTGCAGCCCACATTGTTTATATGTACGCACCATCCCTGTTTGCGTGGCAACTGGAGCACTCAGATATCCACACCTATTTTCCTCGATAAACTGAACTCAAAAGCGGGCTAATGTTCTGTCCACTGTCCTCTGAAGTATTCAGTCTGAAGTACTAAGTCTTGTTCACCTCCCATCAACTCGGCCTGCGTTTGAGGTACGGTTAGTTTGCAGCGACGGTTAATAATACCTATGCATCTTCATCTTTGCGAGTAGTACGCCTAGAGTATCGACTACTCGTCACTAGGCGTATGTGTGCAACAGCAAAATAGCTCGTGCATGCATGCAGGATGGCTCAAGAAAATTCACTCTTGCGTGAAGCTGACCTCCAGGAGAGTGCATGAGCGTAGTTTCCTTACCCAAATTTAATGAACTTGTGGTTATTTGTGTTGAAGAACACCAGTTTCAGCACAGCTGACACGCGATATCCAAGTCTATAGATTTGACAGCCCACAACGGAAAGAAATGCGATTGCCTAAACTGCCTTTCAAACAGAGTCTTATGACTGAGGCTAAACAAAAACTCAGACATGTGCTTGAGCGGCTACGTGGCTGACTGTGAGTTCAGGCGAGTGGGTGTTTCTATTACTGCTTACCTGGGCTCTGACGTGCTTTCTAATTTTAAATGAAAACTAACTCACATGTGAAGATCAGACCAGACATACCTTACTCCCAAAATGTCCAAAAGTTGAACTTATGAGACTCAGTTTGTGGAGAACCAACGAAAATACGACGCGTGATGCCTAAAGTACCTAATAAACTGGTAAAGGTTTCTTCAATTTTTTGTGTGGATATAAACAAACAGACTTAAGATGCACTTTTAGTCGGAACACTCGTGTGACAAGCAGAGGGGATGAGTGCTTTTGAATTCATAGCCTACATCACAGGCACATTGTGAAGCCTTGGACTTGCTTTCGCGGGACCGAATCCTGTCAAGGTCACGAAGTTTTTCGCGATTGAATCTGTTAAATTAGCTTACGTTATCTATGAGTGAAAAGAAGACTGCATGATAGTAGATCGTCCGCTCAGTATGCTGGAGGTATAGGTGCTAAATTCTACTAGCTTTAGAGCCTTATGTATAGTCTGAACACTCGCATAGGAAAACCGACTGCTCCAAATGGCTTCATTCAATAGATCATTTTTACATATACAAAAGGACACGATCATTCGGCGCACAGAGAGGTAGAACGCAAAAACGAATGTGCAAACTCCTTGAGTTCAAAATCCGTAGCCCATGTCAGAGTAACAACTACCCCGGCAGTGTTTGCACATGCTCCACATTAGGCGTGCCAGTAAACGCAAAAAAGTAGACAAACCATTTTACGTGCTTACGGTTGCGAAATTAGAGGCCAGCGCTAGGCTTACCGCCACCACCACCACCACCGGCACAGCGCTAACGTTGGACCGAACAGGGCCTGAGCAAAGTGAGTAATCGTGCTTAACGGTTCGCTGGCGCGCAAAACTGGGTGCCAGGGAACGGCACGAGAGTCTGCAAACGTACCCAGACGCACAAACCAAAACAGGCACACCTCGGGCGGTGGGGAGTGCTATGGGAACCAGCAAGTAACATATACGTCCGATAAAACGACGCACTGCAGAAGTGTGAAATGGGAGAGAATCGGTGCAATGTTGAGAGTGTACGAAAGAAAATACTGCAACAAGGTTCTGCGTTCAGGATGCGCTAACAGCGGTGTATGGTAGGGCAGAAAGCAGGAAATCAAACACGACTAACGACTTAAGGTGGTTCAGTGAGTATTGATTTGAACTGTCATTGACTCTTGGTGGATAACAAAGTTCAGACACATAAAAAGTAAACAGGAGCCGTAGAAAAACTCCAAAAATTGTTTTCATCACCAAAGTCTACTTATTAACCAGGTTGAGTACGTATCCGACAATGGAAAACAGTTTACCAATAGAGTTCTCACTCATTATGTAGACTCTTCAAAGGGACTTGAGCTATAGTGGTAAATTCCACTGTTATGACGAAGGGCATAGATGAGGATTCACCAAGATAAAAAAAAGCTAATTTTACATGACGGACTTCTGACAGAGAGGCGTATGTAGGAAAGCTGTGCGGGCATATGAACCATACAGAGCTGCAGACGACGCCCAAAATCTCTTTTAAAAACGAGGAAAGTGCTTTATAAACATGTCTGATTTTTCAGTAGTTCCGGTTGCCTTTTTGATTCTTCATTGTAGGAAAAAAGTAAAAAGGTGATTTTTCTCAAGAAAGTGCCGGTTATACTCGAATGTCGAAGTCATTGAAAGTTATGCAATGAAACAAAGCAAAAACTACCAATGGTATGCAATTATGAGGTAAAAAAGCAGTAATAATGTTCGACACGGTCGTTGTAACACACCACTCAGAATAAATGAATACTTACCACAGTAGAGCTCTCATCTGTAAAATGAAGAGAGAAAATGACAAGGTCAAATATTTCCACAAGCTTTCAAAATAAAATTAACGGTACAGGATCGCGGAAAACTTTTCATGGTATCTGAAAAGTTAACATGAATAACATGGTTTAAGGCATGTGCAAGTAATTAGGTAACAGGTACAAAAATAAAAACAGGGATTGCCCTAACAAAGGCTGCTAAACGGAGATTTGTGCGGACCACGGGCATAGAAGGTAGGTCAACGAGTAAAACATTCTAAAAGCGACAGAAAATTCCGAGAGAACTTCAAAGTTGGAACGTGACGATCATTTCTAATCTAAATCCACTTGTGCGGGAAGAAAGATATAAGCAAGGGGGATCGGAAGCTCTTATGAAATGAAAAATGGTCCGAAAGGTTGACAGCAGGAATCCCAACGACGTTCGCAATCGAGAACTATTACCGGCAAAGCATAGAATTAGTGAGTTAAAGACACCTGGGTGTGTATAGCAAATGATTCTACAGCGCTCACTTTCTACTTAATGCCAAAGGGTCCAATGCGAAGATTTCTGTATGTCGGAAACTCCAACCGGTAGTTTCATCTAACAAAGGAGCCACATGCAACGCATAAATATAAATGCCCGAGGCCAGTGTGAATTAATGAATCCCGAACAGCCTTTGGAAACTGGACGAACTCCATCAATCGTCAAGTACAGAGTGGGAGTTCAAAAGGCTTTCTAATGAGGTGAGAGAGAAATTGCTATGCTCGGCATGTTATTCGGAAAACACACGAAGTGTATGCTTGCTCGACTGTTTTCCCCAACACCAACACGGCAGAGAAAGAGAACACGTTCGGACGCTATAAAATTTATTAGTAACCTGCCAATCATTCTGATTGGAAAGCTGCCTGCATTTATAGCATCCGGTTTAAGTTGGCTATATTCTGTCCAATTCCCTTCAAGAGAAAGTTTTGGGCGAGGAGGACAACTCGCAGACATAGGTAAATCAGATCTGGCGGAGTCATTGTGAGCACAGCCAATGTGGGATGCTGTCTGACGCACGTTTATCGCATGCAGCATGAGAAGTGCGCGCAAGTGCACCTCTGTGAGATGAATTCTTCGTGGGAATGTGGACATTCCCAAAATAAACTTCCGGTAACAATCAAAAATTCCTCTAATCATTAAAAAGTATGCAGGATTCTTAGGAATGCATGGGCGTTAAGTCCCAGAGAACACAGTGTAAAGCAGAATCCACAAGAGGACGACCTAAATCCATAGACATTTAGTAACATTTAAGCAAACGCGGATATCAATCAGCAACATTGGCATTTATGGAGAAAGAACACGTTTAAATCTATGCACTGTGACATGCTAGATCCTTCGTAAAGTCCTCTCTTTCCATTTTGGAGTCGTTATCACGAAGATGGTAGTTACTTAGAAGATACCGACTTCCCTTGATTACCTATGTAAACAGAAGTTTAAGTATTTGTAGATCAAACTGATTAATAAAAGCCATCTCTTATCATAAAACAAATAATCATGAATAATAATAGCTACTTCTTGTAATAAGGTCTAGATTGATCATGTTCCTTAGCATTATGTAGACATAAGGGTCGCTTAGTAAAATGGAAATTCCAAAATAACACAAACGCACATCTTGTTTCAAAAAATGATTGGACCATTACATTTTGGGGCTTTGTATTATATGTTGTCGAATCTTAATTGTCTTTCCCTTTTCAGAAAGCTATGAGAGCCAAAAACAAATCCGTACAATTGGACATCGCGATATCATCAAGATCGGACATGGGCCCAGCTGTACCATGTATAAGAAGTAGTCAACTAAACAGTAAAAACGACATATAAGCTACTCCATGAGTCTGTGTTAACTAATATTATTCGGCAGCACAAGAAAAATGACAAATTGTAAAACAACATACTGATTTTCTTATTAAGGCGCATCCCCATTCTTTTGCAGCATTACTGCAATCTATCTCAAGTACTTACTTCAAGGGGAAAAACAGCTAACTGGTTCTCCTTAAGCTATATGAGAAAATAAAATATCCTTGCCAAGACTAAAACCGATATCAAAAATGACAGCGCTGTATATCATAGGCGGAGAAGTCGGAAAGACACAAGGATAAACTCGAAGAGGGCATTACAATCGAAATTGAAAAGATTACGGTAAAAAAGCACTAGATAAAATATGACATTATTACAAAATTACTACCTGACCACGAAGATATTCGTTCGGTTTCGGGCATCTGACCATTTACGACGATGGAGGCTTTGTCGTAGTACGCACGCGAATCGGGATCTAGGACTAGGAGATTAAGTTCTTGAGGATTTTTGCGCATCAGTTCAACGACCTTTTGATGTGAATAAGAGACTGGAAGAAGGATATATGAATCGTAATATGTCGCAGGAATAAAATAATTAATATACTAAATTTTACACATTATTCAGAAATGCTGAAGCCTAAAGTAATGTAACTTACTAGTTAAACACAGTGTGATGAGCATGAGACAAATATGGCATTAAGCTTCAACTGGTCGGCGTCACTTGCTACAGTACACGTAACAGTAGAAACCCAAGTGACTAATTTGTAAATTATTAACGTAAAACGTAAAATTCGCAGGTTCACATCTGTCTGAGCGAAGGCCCTAGTAAAACTGAATAGGCTTTTGTCAGATAGGCAGAGAAATACAAAGATAGTAAATGTGAATGGTGCAACAAGGGAAACCAAAACAAATCATGGGACCAGACTGGGTACAGCAAGTTGGAATTCTGAAGAGATACAATCAGGACATACTATTTCGAATTGTACAAGAGCTGTTACTGATAAACTCGCATATCATTACCCCAAGGACATAAATAAATCAACAGCTTGGGTGAAAAGAAGAATTAATCAGGTGTATAGAATGAATTAACTCGTCGTACTACTGATAAGCCCCACTCGGCAGTTTCTTATCCCGAAACCTGAGTGCTTTGACAGCTACCCAGAAAGAAAGTATCTCATATACTCCAAAGATGGGACTAAATAGTGAATCCGAATGAAAAGATGGCAATAAGCAAGTGAAATGCTACGTAAAAAACGAAAGGAGAGAAAATAAAAGTTACCAGATTGCGAAATAAGATTGAGAAATGTAGGCAAAACTTGCTGATAAACTTTCAAGTACTATGGCAAAGACCTAAACAAACTTTGAAAAATAGCGGTTAAACAACTAAAGATAGGATCGGATGAATATTCACAAGGAAGCTCTATAAGCATCACTTACCGCCTTTAGGTCAAAATTACTATGAGCTGGTGCCAGAGAGTACTTTTGAATGGTGACATGAACGGGAAAGATAGCGACATTAGCGACCACCTTTCGGATATAAACACAACAAAATGCAACTACTTCACCGAAAAAAAAAACTAGGCTCATGCAAGTAATGGACACAAAATAGATGCTTACAATGTGGGAATTTCGCTCTTTCCGGGTTTTCGACTGCATAGCAAGGCGTTTGCACAGCTAGATTAGATGAATTACATTCCACGGACTGCCAACATTGCCAACACCCACGAAACATTCAAAATAGGAACCGAAAAATCACTTGACTGTACTTATGAATTTGTTAGGCAATAGGAGCGGACAATTACTTTCAGTAAGAGGAAAGCTGAAAGTGCTTTTTGGAAACGAATGAACGAGGTAAGAACTTAAGGTGCATACTAGAAATTGCAATTGGTTATTTTTTATTTCATTTCCGGGCTGAAAATGATAAAACCATAAGAGATTGTCAAAAGCGGTAATGGGCGGAAACCATAGGATGGAAATATTTGGCTGCGGAGACGGGTAGCTGACGGTACTACGAGAATAGGGATAGCAATCTGTCAGGACAGCGATTTTTCCTTGTTTTAATATGTGGGCGCGGATACTTCCAGTTCCGGGTGAAGTTCCTGTAAGTGGTGCGTCCTCGCATTGATGGTGCAGGCTTGTTGTCCCCCTCTGGTGACAGTTTTCAGCTCCAACTTTTTCGGTAGACAGTGATGAGTAACAGATGCACTTCCTGCGAAGACCCCACAATTTGATCCCCTCTCCCGCTGTAGTTTTCGGCTCCAAATTTCTCTGAATGTCGCTCTGACGCCGTTTCATGGTTGGTTATATACTATTTTGTGGCTATTCCGTGTCTATTCAAAATAAACCCTTATGTACTAACATTTCCATCGGCATCTCACATTTTTTGATATCTGCTATGATAAGCGAACCTTCTGGCGAATGTGTTGCCTGTGGATACAAACAGAAGAGAGCGGACGAAGACGAACATCTGTGTACGGACCCTAATCGGAAGGAAACGACGCTATCCAAGAACCCCGTGTGATAGGGTGTTACATAGAAAGTCAAAGATTTATAAGCCGGATGGAGAATCATCCGCATATTTGAAGATTGGCCCAAAGGGCTTTTTGGAACTGTAGCTGAATAACACTGGAATCAGAGGGGTGGATGCTGACGAACATTTTTCAAATGCATGTGATTTATGTGGAGAGACTTTTCCCGAGAAGGAATCATAAAATAAAATAACCCGAAAGCTCAATGTGGCCAGACTATTTAAATTGACCATAATGACAGAATCAAGGTGACAGTTGAGAAATTGAGAGATAGTTTTTTGAGTTCGCTAACAGAGATCAAAAGGTACAGCACCCCACATAGATAGAAACCATGTTATGCCAAAGTAAGCAAAATTGTCGGCCGGCCGCTTCAACAAACAGTACGTGATAGCACAATACACACACATAACATAATAGTTAGTTCAGCCAGTAATGACAAAAATCAGTAAAGGCGCAAGGTTAACCCAAAGTCTGAAGGCTGTGGGAAAAGTGTCATTACTATGTTTGCATGATAAAGTTATCTTACGTACGTATATTTTCACCATTGACTTCAAAAACCATATCACCACATTTTAAGCCAGATTTTTCAGCGGGCGAATTCGGCTTTACTTCATCAATGAATTGGCCAACTTGATTTTTTGTGGCAACAAGGGAGAAACCAAGACCTTCAAAATCGGCTGTTGGTCTCATACAGCAAAGCCGCGGATGAGGCTGCATTATTGTGGACTAACAGGCTACGGACGCGTTTAGAAAGAGAACCGTCAAACCTTCCGACAACATTTTAGCCTAGTTAAAATGCACTGTCTGCTTTTTTAATTACATTCAGTTCCTCTGGGACTTATGGTGGTATATATTTTTAAACTGATAATTAAAGTAAGCCAATACTCTCATCCTGGCCCAGTGCTAGCTCATGCCCAGTATATATATGTACTCAGATCGTAGTTGGTTAAAATGTTCTTTACCTGTCAAGTTCCAATTATTTCTTATAAAAAGACTCATTTTTGGTTTTCTTGCGTAAAAAACTGACTAAGAGGCTTTGCGCTACACATTGAGGGATATTAACTTACATGGAAAAGAATAAGAGTGCGTCACTTGAAATCGGTTTCGAAATGCATGTCCTTTTAGTTTGCGAGTTTTAGTCTCTACCTCAGTTTAGGAGAAATGATTCTTAGGATTATTCGAGAGTAGGTTTTCCACTCTCCAAATTTCGGACGTAGCAACATGTACGTGAAAATTCTGTGGCTTTTAAATATTCAAAGCTGTGGCTGCTTTCCTGCCTCTGGATTTAACCTCGTTGGAAGTGCAATCTTCAAACACTGCTCGCTTCCGAAACTGATGCCGGCAGCATGCTCTCCGAATATGCCCTCAGCCGTGCAGTGGACTCAAAATAAAGCAGGGACCTTATGTCCTCATATTCTATTATCATTATTCTTAACCTTATATCGTCATATGCTTGAATACCATTACGGACTCTGCCGTTAATTTTAAGACGATTTCAACATCAAACGCATTTTCTTACAATGCAACTAAGCAGGCAAAACACAGGAGATAAAAATATGTTTTCGCACAAAATAGGTCCATGGTCAGGTTTCAAACCTGTTCCGAAAAATCGCGTTTGGCAGACGATCAACCACTTGGCCACACTGATACATGAATTCGACAATGGATTTAGTTCAAAATCGGAAAATAACTGCAGCTATGACTCTTCTTCTAATAGTTCATGCCCCGCTAAACGGACAAAATGTCTAGGAAGCTTACCTTATGCC